ATCACTTTACCACGTGACTTTCTTGTCCCATGGATCCGAACCCCTTCGGACATCTCCGGGATATTACCGCACGGATGTTATCAATAAAATGCTTAGATTCACTGTTAAGTGTGGTAAGCAAAACAACACGAATACTGATACTGATACTGATACTGGGTAATATCTCCGCAAACATCCGATTGGTTCCAAATCCATCCCTGAAAGTGGTTCGCAGGCGTAGGTATCGAAACTGACTTCGTAAAATGACTCTTTCCGTATGCTCAATCTGTGTTTAATTCGATATTTTAATGAAGGGAGCTGAAAAAAAAATTTCTTGACAATAGACTTAGGTGTTTTACATAAAGTTGCTTTTGCATTGTAAGTGTATTTACAATAAAGATTAACCAGTTACAATCAGGCAAACAAAATAAATTTATATTTTGTAGATTAAATCGGCAATTTAACTTTGGTCAAATATCCGAAATAGAGAAAAACATACGATTTCAATGTTTGGAGCTGAGAGATAGCAATGAAATTGATTTCGGTGGTATTGCAATTCCCATTAGGACGAAGGAAATGCCGTTTGAGATTTTAAATCAATATAAAAAACACATAAAAAATAATTCTGTGTATTCTGAGGTAGGTGACCCTTTGTAATCTCTAAATCGAAAACACTACTTATTTTTTTATTTGAAATAAATATTTCCAAAGTTCACTATGGTTTTTCTGTATCTAACAATATATATTTCAAGAATTAATTTATCTTTATTGGCAGGATTGTCACACAAGGACGGATCGGTCAATAGAGCGTCGTAATCTATATCAAAAAAATATGTTTGAATATACAGGGTGGCCCACATAAGTGCGCCGATATATATGTCATTTAAAGAAGAAGAAACATCGTTCTTTCATTCGCTAACATGACAATGTAATTAATACTTTGTGATACAATAGGTTTTCAAATTAAGTCAGTTAATTTAGATGCTACCAATCTTGACCGAAAATTCTGCTTTTTATGTCAAATTTTTAATTTGCTCTATTTGTGTTTAACAGATACTTGAGGATAATATGGAGACTGCAAATCACGAACTGTCAGTTACCCTGTTTTATCAAAATCTAATAATATTTAACAAGGCTGCGGGCAATTCATGAATTCGACAGTTTTCGCGAGATACTAAAATTAATTTTTTTTAAATAATCGATTATAAAATATTGAATAGTTTTATTCAAATACAAAGTACACAATAATTACCAATTAATATTATTTGCACTTTTCTTTTGGTTATAATAGTTTATAGAATTTTCGCCTTATGGTGACATATGGTGACATATGTACAAAACATTTAAAAAAAGATTAATTCAAAAGAAATCGTAGAAAACATTTTCTTAGTGCTGCTATTTATGGTATACTTAAGCTATACAACAATACAACATTACAGGATAATGTAAATTGTCATTATTTCAGTTCGTGTGGAAGTTACAATTTCTTCCTGTAGTGTAAAGATCATCTCACTTAGTAAGTTCTTTTTCTTTCTCTGACGCAGTGTGCCATACAAAGTGCGAGGATGGCACCAATGACCTACAAATATACGTATTCATGAGGTTATTGAAAAGGTTGAAACTGTTTTAGTTTGATTGACATACCTCAACCGCTGAAATACTAATAACTACTATGCCAATAACTTTAATTGAGTCCTTAACAAGTTCGTATACGGCATCCGCACAACCCTTTGTCCAAAGAGTGTTGGTTGTGTCTTCGTTCTTATAGCAACTTTGGGGTACTGGTGACGGAAACCAATCACTTGAACTGTTAACGCCGCAGCAGTGTAGCTTAAAAAATAAATTTTACTATTATTTTCAATTTGAAAATGACAACGAATAAAATCAACATGTAAACAATTTACTCCTGAATTTGCCCGCAAGTCACACTAATAAGGCCCGTTGATGTAGTTTATCGGTTTTTCTGGGAAAATGGAATTTTAATCAAATTTATTAAATAAAATATTAACTATTTCTCAGATTTTGGATAATTTATTAGGAGATCAGACAAGTTATTGACAAAATGTATAAAAGCTAGAACCCATTATAACCAAAGGGTTAACTTCGCTTCCGATTAAATTATGAAGTCTTTTTAGGCAAAAACCCCATCTCCACTTTTGGAGATTTTGCAACGTCGATGGGATAAACGGGTTTCTAGTCAACGTATTTGTTTATTTCATGGGGTAAGAAACAATAAATGCAGACGACAAAGCAGCCTAGAAAGCTTATTTTTCCGTAGCTATATCTAGCTAAATGTAACTGAAATTTATATTTTGTGGCAATTTTTTCACATTCTATTTTTGAGTTAATTTTAAAATAATATTGCGAGAATTTAAAATTTTTTGCTTCAAAAAGGTTTTCTTCAGTTTCAAGAAAACTATGGTTGCAACATCCATTCAAATATCGCTTTTCCTACGTATGGCATTATGATTTGTAATTACATTATAGGTAAGTAGTTACAGATCAGTTATTTTACATCGTGCCGGTAAGTAAGTTCTTACGAAAAAATCAAAAAATCACTGAGGTTTATTTCCGTATCGTTAAGGTACGTCAAACTTAACAAATCTGTCAAATTTGCAAAGAAAAATTGAATTTTTTAATATTTTCTAATTAATATTGTGACGTGAGACGTGAGTGTTTAACCTCGTAATTGCTCAATTGATATGAAGATTGTTTTTACGTTTATGTGCAACTGCGGGATCCAAAGAAAAACTCCAAAGACAAACTAGTGAGTGAGTGGTCGGAATTTAAGTTGAAATAGGACTAAAATTATAAAGTCCCAATTTAGTTACTATATTGTATGTAGTATACTTTTGAAAAACGTGATTTAAACGAGCCAAACAACATATCGACAACACGACGGCGTGGACAACAAGCACCGGCGGCTGGGTTCGTCATTTCATGAAATTATTGATAATTTCGTCATTTGCTGATTGTATTGTATAATTTGATGAAAATATCACCTTAAATATGACCATGACCAACACAGCAGCTGGCGTTATTTGTACACTTTGCGCGTATTTATAAATAAGAACAAAGTAACGTTCGAGAAACATGAAAAAGAATAGTTTCCAAACAATAAAATTTCAGAATTTGTAAAAAAAGTGCTAATTTTAAAACATCCGAAAAATAATGATTTTATATAAATTGTACTAAAATTAGCAATTCCTCCAATGGCGTGGAATTTGGGGAGGGTCAATGAGCCATTTGCCAGTAGCCAGAAACGATTATTTAGCATAAGCATAAGCGATTATAGTATCTTCCCGCCAAGTATGACAAGAACACGTCAAATGTAATTTTTAATTCAGAAAAAACAGTGTGTAAGCTACTAAAGAGTCGCATTTTTTGTAAGTGATTTGGGATAAATTTTAATATTTAGAGCTCAGACTTCTACAGTTAAAACATTTTCAATTAATTATGAATCACGCTGTATACGATTCCTTACCTGGTTCTGAAGAGCTTTCAAAGCATCTTTATCGTTGTTGAGTAATTTTCGAACGGCATCGCTTATATTCTTTTGAAGATCGTCGTTGTCTTTTATTTTCACGATCGCATAGATGCCAAGGGCTAATTGTAAAATGAATATTAATATGAGAATAGTACCATACTGAAATAGAAAAAAAATTAAATACTTTATTAACAGATCAACCGAATTTATTTACCGTGCTCAGCATGCACGGGTTTTTTTTGCAAGCTCCTCTCTCTCTCTTCAGTCGTTGTCCGTTTTCGGACGTCGTGACTCGTTCATGGATGTTGTGTAGTGACCCTTCGCCAAGCTTCTCTGTCCTCTACAGTACGCATCACTTGTGAGACCGACATTTGTGTGAGCTCCTTTATTTGATCTATATATCTCACTGGTGACCTTCCTCTTGCCCTCTTTCCATCAACCTTCCCCTGTATCATGAGTTTTTCCATACCGTCCTTTCGTATTACATGACCGAAGAATTTAAGCATACGTCGTTGTATTGTTGGTAATAATCTCTCATTTTCCCGTACTTTTAGTTCTCTTAAGATGGATGCGTTGGTGCGGTATGCTGTCCAGGGTATTCTCAGCATTCTTCGGTAGCATATCATTTCAAACGCCTCAATTCTTCTTCGAGATGCAGCATTTATGGTCCAGGATTCCGAGCCATACTCTGCAATGGGGAACACTAAAGATTTCACAAGTCTTGTTTTAGTTTCCTTGCGGATACGGTGGTCTTTCCAGATTTTAACCAGCCTTCCCAAAGCCTCCTTTGCCATCCCAATTCTTCTTTTAATCTCTTGTTCTGAACCACCTCTATTTGTTATCTTCGTGCCCACAAGCAAGCTCCACAACAACCCAAAAATGATATGAAAAATACTATAGCTCCGATCACGATGCAGAGTGTGGGAATGTATCGGACAGCATCATAATTTTCCGGTACTGCGTCTGTTACGTGGTTGATATTCAACTTGTAGACTATGCCAATAACAAGAAGCGCTATGCCGACCAACTAAAATAAAAAAAAAAAAATTAAATACAACTTGATGGAACAACGAATTTCTTTCAAATGACAATTGCAATTTCATTTCAAATTAAACTTCTAATGGCCTTTAAGCATTTTGAAATATATAGGTTGTATAGTTGAAAATACATACCTTCATAGTTTAGGATTAAAAAAAAAAGATTTATAATTTTTTTTGTATTAATTGCCAAAATTATTTACGGTGACATTTTTACAATTCTATCAGAAAATATTCATTTCATTCATTTTGGTTCTATTTAAATTTCAATGTAAAAAATATAATCGAACTTAGCACATAAACGTTATTTTAGTCATGACTTTGATTTGGCAAGAACGGAGCGCGGCGGAGCAAGTGTTTAATAAACGAGTGACTGAAGAAGAAAGCCGTGACTGGAAATGTCGTGGCTCGTGTGGTTAAATAAGGTGTCGGTCTTTCCGCACGCTCAATCAGTGCAAAAGTGGTTATTTTAGAGTAAGGAGTAAAAAATCTACATTATTAGATCACAAACAAAAGTTTGTAAAACCTTATAATAACATAAAATGTGCTATTATTTCCACTTTTAATCATCTCTCTCAAAAAGTAAAAGTAAAGGTAGAAAAAAGCTACTTATTGTAAAGCGTTTTAAAAATAATATTTTTTCTCCTTGATTACAACAATCATTTCGTATTTACTAAACTTTCAAATTAACAAGTGTTGATATGAAATCTATTAAGATAAGAAGGATTAATCATAAACTAAATAAATTACGACATGCCTGTGTCTATTATGGAGCTTAGTGGTTACTTTCCATCTATCTAATTTTCAAATATTATTTTTATCCTTTCTACCCAAAATGTTAAACTAGAATTCAAAGGACTGAGTGCTGCTCATGGTTATCTTTATTTGAATTACTGCGATACAATAATTATTTACAATTATGATATAAGTTTCAAATCTAATAAACTCCACAAAGAAAAAGGGAAATTAACAATGCAAAAATGAGTTTTTACTACACTACACATACGAATATTATGGCGATCGCCCAATTCTTTTAACACCATTAATCTTGTAACATTTAGTTAATTATTAATTAAAATTTAGTTTAACACTTAGCTGGAAAAGCAATATATTTGTTTGAGAACGAAGGTGTGCATACATTTTGTTAGCGAAGTTAAAAAATACGGTGATCTTTCCTGAGATAAATTGATATAAAGTTATGGTCTGTTCATAGATATAAGAAAGTAACCAATTGTTTTTAAATGGGATTACCCAAGGGTGGTCATTAACATACAATGCAACAAGATTATTACCTAAAGTTTCGGAATTTAAATTCAGGTAAAATTGTGGTCCGTAATAGAAAATAATTTTATTCCTATCTGTGTTTAATATTCTTTGGTTTGGTATACTACTTAGTTTAAGGTTATTAGTGTGTGTTGAATTGTATGTAAAATGTGTGCGAGTCTAGTGTATCTCAGAAGATGCGGCCCAAATGTAGAAAACACTATTCTATTGAGACTAAGGAAGTTACAAACAATGTTTATTTGACTCTCATTGAAGGTGGTGCCAGCAATCAAGCATCTTTAGAAGAAACGGCCACATTGACGAAAATTCCAACATCAACTGTATGGAAAATTGTGAAGAATCCCATTTCAGCGAGGAAAAAAAGAAGCGATGCTGACATTTTCTCAAGTTTAGATGAAAGTGATCAAGATATTATTAGATTATTATATATTAGATATCTTAATTAGGAGGCTTGAAACAGATGAAACCGGTGTTAAATGTGTTAAATGGAAGTGGGTTTTAGATTTAAAAAAATTGACAAAAGGCAAGTTTTAATGGAATCTTTTAGAATTCGGAAATGGTGACTGGAATATCTAGAAAAAATTAAATTAGGATTTACAGAGAACAACAAACAAATTTGTAATTTTATTTTAGATTTAAACATAAATAAATACATAAATAAATAAATATTGTTTATTATCTTTTCTAACAAAACCTCAAATAAAGTACGGACCTCTTCGGCCATATTTCATTCTTACAGCTTGCCCGGGTCTTTCCTTAATTCGCATCAATTAGTCACTTTCTTATATCTATGAACAGACTTTACCTAATACATTATGTAACTATTATAACCATAAGACATTCTAATTATTTTTAATCATCGATTGATAATCAATATTTGGAATGACTGTACAATTGAAATGGCAAAGCATTTTTTAAAACGTCATTAAAGTAAAATTTGCACTTTTGCATATGCGTAAATAGCGCTCCCGATTCCGAGTAATTCGTAAGCTCGATTTCTGCCATAAAACATGTTTTTTAGAAAAAGCAGCATTTTTTTTCTTCTACAACAAATGTTTTTGTAGTCTAGTAACGAGTGGTGTTGATAAAAAAAACTGTTTGAAGGTAACGATGGATATGTAGCATACTAAGTCTATATTATTTGGAAGGGAAGTGCTTAAAACACAGTAAAAATGTTTGTGTCTTCAAATAAAAGCGACTTTTGGTGTCTAGTTTCTAAACTACGACAGGATTTTTAGGGATGTTGGGAGTTTTTTTTTTATCTGTGGAAACTTTGTTTTGGCGTAAGAAGGGTTTTATAAAACTTTTAGTTCTCCAGGAACTTTATATTTTTCTCGTCTCTCTTATGATAAAATGATTTTAATTTTTTATTTAAAATAGAAAATTTTTATTCTCTCTTTGATAACTGATTCTCTTTTTATGGCCATATATGTTATGCCTAAAATATCAAAAGAAACATCACACTTCGACAAAATTCTGACTGCAAAATATTATTGATTAAAACGTTATTCCCGATACGATAAGGCGATAAGCGCTTACGCATATAGCAAATAAGATATCTGATAGCTTTTAATATTTTAAAACCATGATTCACAAAACTAGGCGCGAATTTTGTTACGTCCAATCCCAATATATATATATATATATATATATATACACATATATATATATATATATATATATATATATATATATATATATATATATATATATATATATATATATATATATATATATATATATATATATATATATATATATATATATATATATATATATATATATATATATATATATATATATATATATATATATATATATATATATATATATATATATATATATATATATATATATATATATATATGGTCACTTTCGTTCTAGGAAGATTACTTTTATCAAGGAGCGTTAGGTGATGCTCAAAATTTTATGGCAATTTGGTTTAGAATATCACAAAGTTTTATAGACAAATTATTATTGATCTCATTAAATTTTGAGAAAACATTGCAGGAAAAACGCCACATCCAAACTGTCAGCGGCCATGTCGGTTCTTAAAAGCCGCTGGGTCTTAATAATAATAGTAAGTTTATGTTTCATTATGAGACAAACGAATAACAAAACCACAATCATTCGTCATCGCTCAAACAGAAACATGATACGAGTCTGGTTCGCGCAATTTAAAGATATCAAATGTAGCTCCTCTTGTAGTTAGATGCAATAAGTAAAAACAAGTTAATACCAATATATACCAATAGAGATACATGAAATCACAGGTATATTGGGAAAGGCGTTCTAAATTTGGCGCTAAAATGATAATTTCGTCTACACCAATGCGAAATTGCTTAAAAACTGGTATCAAGGGACCGATCCGTTAATATTATGTAATTTGTTTCGAAAAATCGTTTCTTACCAGGAAGGCAAAGTTGACAATAAACACTAATATTTTTGCTAATCCTTCGCCGCAACCCATTCTGCCTTATTCACGATCCGGTAAACGATAGATCACTAGCACTAACTATGGTTGGAGTGACGATTGTGCGCCTCGAAGTAATTGTTAAATACATACGTCGGTAAAATTTATTCGCTGATAAGATATATCTAAATTTTTATTCCCTGGATGGCCGTGTAACAAAATGTCGTTAATCTGACAGGAATCATGAGGGCTAGAAAACACATTTGAGATCTCATAATTTCTACTAAAAAATTAAGATATCGAAAAGTTAATTATGCGCTAAAAGGAACCATTTATTTACTTACAGAGTCGCTTCGTGGAAATGGGCACGGTATCATTTTCGGTACGCTGTCGATGACTCACTCGTTTTTATGAGTAAGATTGAGATAATGACATATACTTAAAAGTTAAATAAAATATTCTCAAAAATGAAATTAATTATCAGAAACATACGTAAATTAACAAATTGGGAGACGGTTTTCTGCACTCTTTGCAAACGTGTTTCGTTGGTTATCTAGGACGACTGATATAAAAAAAACAAATTTTTTTCAAAAATATTATATGGTTATGTGGGAGGTAAGATTTTGAAGTTGGCAGATATTTTACTTAATTTTGACTGGCTTTAACTTCGTTACTTCTTTGCCGAATTTGGGATTTCCGCACCTTAGTGAAATGGTGTTCGATATTTTAAAAAAATCCTTTTTCGTTATACAGGGCGTAAATGTAACGTCGAGAAATTTTTTATTGCCACAAATTTAGAAAATGTATAATCTTCTTTATGACGCTATAGCTATTATATGGTATAATTGCCGTAAACAGTAGTTTGATGCGCTTGTCGGCTATGACATTTTCGTAGAGATGGGAATAATCTTCCGCGCATGCCTCTACATTTCACCCGCTAAGCCTTTGCTTCACTTCTAGTGCTAGTACAAACAGGACCTCTATACTTTATATATCTAGTGGCTATATGGGTAAATGACTAGATCAATACCTCTGTACGTCTTTGACATTTTTTTCATACATTATGTTGCTATGGAAATATGGGCATTTTATGAATCTTGGAAAGAAAATGCATCGAATGCTGGAAATTACATTGTAGTTTACAATTCGTCGGCTCGAAAAGTATCATTATGAGCAATAAAAACAACATTAGCTTTTTGGGTAATGCCGTTTCATTTTCCCTGTAGACGAAAATACTCAAATTAGTTGGGTGAAGGAGATATTAAAATGAAATTGTAAAAAAATGTGATCCTCCCATGACTATATCAGATATAAAAAATGTCTATAAGCAAAATGATGCTAAACCAAATTATCTAACGTTTTCAAAATAAGGTCTTCGTCCAAATTGCAAATTTCAAACTAATTTTTCATGATTTTAATTATTTATTTCGCTTATAAGTCGATAATAGGTAAGAGGTTTGCAGGATAGCTCTCAAATTGTTTCAATAGTTTTTAACTTGTTTCATTTCTTTGTTCGTTTCCTTATCACATTAAGTCAGAGAATAATTACACAGTTAAATGTGTTTTCTGAAGACTTAAGTGGCGTATAGACCTTGGTTGGTACTTGAAAAAGGTGCTTTCAACAAATCATCCTCAATCAAATCACCAAACCTATATATCGAATACGAAAAAATAGGGGATTTCTCTTTTAATGTGTCGTTCAATTAAATTCTTCTTAAGAACCAATGTCTTCAATGTAAATCATATATTATCATTATAGTAGAAATATCGAGGTGGTTGTACTGTATTTTTTACTTTTAGTGAGGTACATTGAATGCAAGTTTTACCTCAAAAAGGTTTTTAGTAAAGTTCAAGCTTTTCTTCAGGTCTTTAAAGTTTGAACTCAGGCAAGGTAGAATGTCGGAAAATTCAATTTAATTGTTTGAAAAATTTGGAAAAAGTGGTAGGCTAACTTAACCTGTCTAGTTTAAGATATCGTGATAGATTAGCAGACAACAAAACGAGGAAATATAATTGATGAAATGATTTCCGAAACGTAGGATCCGTTATAAGCCAGTGTTAATAAGGCTTAATAAAATTGCACCGTAAACTATTACCACGTACTACAAGTCTTACGAGCACGTAACGCAAAACTCGTACAAGTCTGGTTTACGTTAGATATCGTGATATCAGGAATATAAGTCTGTTATAATTCTCAGCATCTGCTAAAATCAAATTACACAGATTAAAGTTTGATTTGATTCTAACTAAGATTTTGAATTATATCACAAATTAGAACTTTGGAACTTTGGACTTTGGCATATAGAGCATTCTAGGATTATAAACTGCCAGATTTTTATTCACATTAAATGCAAACATTTTCTGCAATTTCGATTTGTAGGGCTGCAAATTATTAACTGAATTTGCAAAAGAGTCAAAAACAATTTTTTTTTCTACTCCCTTCTGTAAAATACCTAATTATATATAGCTTGAATTTTGACGTTTGTCAATTCTGATGGTCATGCCAGTGTTGTTTTGCAAAAATGTACCCGAATACTCACTGTCGTAGAAAAAATATAGTAGGCAACACGTTTGGTAAACTTTTAAGGTCACGAGTTTATTTGACACGAGCGAAGCGAGCGATTAATAAACTAGTCAAATGTCGTTTACCAGACATTTTACATAATATACTATTTTCTACTTCTTACTACTTTAAGACGTCAACTTCGTTGTTCACGACTTTAGGAGCGATTGTGTGATTTCGGTACATTTTCAAAATTTACATTTTTGACACAATTTCCGAGAAAGTGTCTCTGGGATTCACATTTTTTGATCAAGTTTGAAGAAGTGTAAATGGAAAAACTAGAATAGGTTTTGATCAATTTTTGAAAATGGAAGATTCTGGTTGTGAAAAAAGTGGATTATTTATTAAGATGACCGCTTTGCTTTGATGTAGTTAACTTAAAAAAAAACACTTTCTTAAAAACTTCGGAAACGATATCATCCTACAGTAAAGTCACAATGGCCTCTTTTTAAATTAATATTCACATAGAAGAGTTTAATAGAAAGAAATGACTTGATGACTTAATTAAATATTAATAGTATATAATGCAACAAGTGCGGAAAACGTCGTTTGACTCACGAGTTTATGAACGAGTGACTTAAAAAGTTTACCGAACGTGTTGCATATTGTACTTTTTCTACGACCGTTATTTGTTGGGTATATTTTCGCACAACAGCACGAATACATTCACTAACATGATGGTTAGAACTAACAAATGTCAAAATTCAACGAATGGGAAATATCTCAGAAAACATCGGATTGCTCCCAAACCAGTGCCGTAAAATTCCGTAAATGTCCGAAGTGGCTCGGATCCGTGGGCAACGAAACTGACGTGGTAAACTGAGGCTTCCCGCACGCTAGATCAGTGTGTAATTAGGTATTTTACAGACGGGAGTAGAAAAATTAAATTATTTCATTTAAATTTATTATTTGAAATTATCAAAAGAAAGGTTGGTTAATTCTTGAAAAATAAAATAATATTCAGTTTATTATTCTTCTAAAAATATTTAAGGTTACCTATAACTGCCCCAATGGTTAAGTTAATAAATTATTATGTTTTAAACATTATAGCTGTAGAAGATTGCAATTATTCCTATTTAATTTGTATTTGATATCTTCCTGTATTCTAAAAATATAAATAAATACTTTATTTATATGCCAAGTGTAGACAGGGTACTGCTTGAAAATTAAGCATTTATTAACATATGGCACTATCAACTATTACAGCCCTACTACAAAAAAGTAATAGACCCAACACATGGTGCATTTCACAAATGGTAATCAACCTTCCTTTCCCCTGGAATGATACAGATTGTAGAACATAAAAAAATATTTTCGATTTTTCCACATATTTAGACGCTCCAGCGACAGAAATGCATGGTATTGGTGGTATATTTTCCTAATAAAACAATACGCCATTGCTTGATTTTAATAGCACATTTAATTGTTCGTTTCGTTTTAACATTTTCTACTGATTATTCGGGATTGTTCAGAAAATGAAATTTTAATAATTCTTTAAAAACATAATCACATGATGTAATTTCAGTTTCCTTATATCTCCTACTATCATTTCTAAGCAAATTTAATCTAGAATAGACCTAAAGTAATCTAAAAATGTGTCTTGTATTCCGATACAGTCTTACAAAAGTTTCAAGGCAATTCAAGTAATTTATGAAAGAAAGACTAATTGTTAATTAACAATCAGATTTACAATGTTCCGCAATACGATTTTTAGATGTAAAAAAATCATTAATCTGAAAAATACACCTTGGAATGGAATAACATCCCCATCGACGAAGTCGCAGAAAGTCTATTCTCAAATTATATGGCTTTGATACGAAAACAGAATTAAAATCGTTCAAATTATTTTTTATGGCATTTTATTGGAATTCTGTAATTGCAGCGATTAAAATTAGTAATACTATACAGCGTGTATCAGTTTATTAATGCCCGATTTTAACAATCTCTATTTTCAAAATCAACAAACACGAAGCAATAAATTTAGCTTACTATTGATTAATTTTTGAGATACATACACGGTGCCCCAAAAAGGTGCGGAAAAAATTGTTATTACAAATTCTTGACGTACTTAGCTCACTTCAAAAGTAGGTGATTTCGTAAATAAAATAAAGGTTCATCTATTATCAGTGGAAACGCATTTTGTTTGAAATTTTAGCCGAATATAAGAAACGATTTTTTTAATAGTTTTGGTAAGTTTAGCAGTCGCTCGCGTAGGAGCGTGTAAAAATATTACAACCTTGTAATATATTGGGCAAGTCTTCAATGTTTAGCGATTTCGCTAATCGGATTGTCAATAAAATAAATAAGTACCCGCATAGAAGTATTTATTGTTAACTAAAACCGTAACAATCAAGTTTCAAGGTTTTATTAATTTGACGTTTAGGCTACGAGCGTTGCATTCTTACTACCTACTAAATGTTTTAGAAAATAGTAACGCACTGAGCACTAGAACACAATTCAAAATGAGACACCATGTGGAAACGCTTAATTATTTTCGTTTCTTAATACAAAGGAGAGACCTATAAATCGTAATTATGAGTTTAAAGGCGAGTGTTTCACCTCCGCAAACAAGCAGCGTTGCCAGTCAATAAAACAACACTGCAAGTAACGCAACCCAACCATTTTCCTTTCACTTTATTCAAAAACCGCAACCGGTAACGAATAAGCGAAAAACTTTCCCTCTCTGTAAAACTTCTAAACAAGCCATGGACAATATTACAAGACAATCGCCACACGCAAAGTAGGCTTAGCGCAGCGCTGGCCGTTCAATTGTGTTATTCTCGGGCGCGTAGACTGTCCTGGCAGTGTGCAAAAATCGAGATTTTTTCGACTTGTCGCGTATTTTTTTCGTTCTAGCTCGATTCCGGTCGAGAATAGTAACTTGGGCGGCCAGAAATATTGAGTTTTCCTCCCGTCGATTCGGATCAATCAAGCGTAAACAAAGCAATCGACACGACGATGGCTCAATCGGAAAGACTTTGACGTGGAGTTTATTTAAGCAGTGAGTTGTGATCATCTTGTACCCCTCTTCGTGCGACGTTTTACACTTTTGAATTTCGGACGACGTTTTCGGAAAATTTCAAGCATATTTTTTGGGATTTATTCTTTCAACAGGTAAGAGCAATCATTGAAAAACAAAATCAAAAATTTCAAAAATAACCATTTTCGCTGCCAGATTTTAATTTAATTGAAGTTTTTCGAAGGAATTATTAACTTCGCGTTTCGCGCGAGCAAGTAAGAAGCAGTAAGTTAACGAAATTTCGCCTTTGTGAATACGCCCAGACAGCCGCTAAACGCGACATCACGCAGTTAAAATTTTCAAATACAATACGTGCTAATATATTCAAAACGTATCCCAAGGATACAGAATAAATTATTCTCCTCCGTATCTTAGCTTAGCTTAAGTTAGCTAAAAAAAACCTGAAAAAAAAACCTGTGTATATTTCCAATATAACTTAAGTCATTCTTCAGCAACAAAGATGTTTTGGTGAAGTCGTTTTAGTAAAGACTTAAAGCCGATGAGGAAATAGTTATTCATTTTAATAATACCCTTCCTAATTTTTAACCGCTGCAAATGCATCTAGGTGTAAAGTGCGCAAGGTACGAATAGGGCGGAATCTCAACTTTGTTCTAAGTCCTTCTGCAATTTTAAAGTGTATGTTCTATTAATTTGGTTAGTATTAAGAACTAAGGACTGACATTCTACTCACGGATGGAAAAATGTGTTGACAATATAATCCGCGATATCATCCGTTCGTTCGTTGGACTAAAATCAGACGTTTCGCCAAGATCTCACTTGGCATCTTCAATGCTTCAGTGCTAGCGCTCCGAAAACACTTCGAACATAGTGTTATTTATTACTGGTAAAGTGAAATAAGAAGCACCGCCACGCATAGGTAACATTGTAGAAATATAATAGAGATAATGGCAACTCATTCATCGAACTCTGTGGATCGCTGCAAAGAAATCGCTCTATTACATAATAATAGAAAGTGTTATTTAAGAAATATTAATTCTAAAAAGAAAAAGGAAAGGATGACATACACCTAAACAATTAGTTTAATAAGGAACAAATTTTTGACACGTTTTTGTCTACACATATGTTGCAAAGGGTGGAATTGAAAAGCTGTTTCTCTCAAGTGGTGTCTAATAAAAAGGGGAATTACATCCGGCATGGGTATGTTATTTATATATATATATATATATATATATATATATATATATATATATATATATATATATATATATATATATATATATATATATATATATATATATATATATATATATATATATATAGCAGAATTTCATTCGGAAAGGAGTCTTTTTATATGAGATTCGATAACGCCAAAGCTCGGCATGACCTACTTCTAACTAGTTACACAGTGATTTATGCAGTATTTATCTAAGATTTTTATTGCTTCTTTCGCCTTCCAGAATATTTTATATTCTTCGTAAAACACCCTCGAACCGAACCGAAGATTATACCACGAGTTGATGTAATTGCGGATTTCGAAGACTGTTGTCAGGAAACGCTATTATACTAATTTCATCTTCAGGCAGGCTTAAACTGGATAACGTTAGCTGTCGATCGCGTCGGATAGAAACTAAAACAATTTCACGTCGCAGAAAACAAAAAACTGTTAACTATAATTTAAGGATAGAAGCAAAATACTAGTAAATTTTATAGCAGCATCGCATTAAATATGAAGAAAAAAGGGTTTTGATAACAAAAACAGGTCATGACATTTCCTTACATAACAAAAAATCGTGATAAATAGTAGAGTAACTTAAAGACAGTACACCGGCTATGCGATAAATAGTTTTGGTTAGTTTTGGTTAGCCTTAAATTTAAAAAAAACTAACTAAAATAACTCATATACCCGGTGTCCCATAAGCAATGGACATGACAAAATAGGAGATTTTATAGGTAAAAATATTACGATTTAACGAAACTTACCTTAGTCCAAAAGTTGATATTAATCGAGATATAGTGTTTCCAAGGTGCAATTTCATTTTGCAATTTTAAATAATTGCACAAAATTTGGCAAATTGAGGTTTTTTGACATGAGAAATCCGGTTTCATGAATAATTTTGGAGCAAATTATAGAGAGCGCTATGTATCGTACTTTTAGTGGATTTGTTTCTTCCTAAGTTTTTTGCGCGTTAGTGTATGCAGATTTTTAATAAAGATATCACTTCTTACACCTTGTTTACACAAAAAAGGTATATACTTTAAATTTCGCGCCGAGTCACCGTTTTCGAGAAATTTCGGTTTGAAATTTTCAATATAACATTACGTAATATTAAATCTCAAAATAAATAATATTAAAAATGCTATTAAAGTCTTAACTATATACATTATCTAGGTTAAAATTGATATAAAAAAATGAAATTTTAAATATTACCTAATGATGTACTGAACATTTTAAACCAAAATTTCTCGAAAATTGTGACTACGCGATATATGTATGAAGTGATATCTTTATTAAAAATCTGAATATATTAACCATACTTAGCGTTCTTCGCCCCATTTCTCATGTCAAAAAACCTATGCAACGATATGCAAAATTTTGTGCAAAAATTCTTTTAAGAGATCAAAAAAAAGTTTCAACTTTAACACTCCTAAAACACTGGAATAGTGCATCCGACTGGAATCCTGCATTTGGCATCTTCAAAACTGAGTGTTCGAAGTATTTTCGGAGCGCGAGCATTGAAGATGCCAAGAAATAAGTGAGAAACCCGGTATAAGGGAATTATTTTTTCACAATACATATCGACAGTGGTTTTTCATAAATATTCTTCTTTTATTACAGCTTTAATAGATTTGACAATAAAAGCATGAGGCATGTTGTCAGAATTCGTAATACATAGAATTGTGTATAGAATAGAATGTGTTTATTTTATAAATGGAAATTGGATTGTCCATAACGCGACACACTTTAAATTTGACACGTATGACACGACCTAATTGTAATATGAAAATTTTGTTTGTTTTATGAAAAAATACAAGGAGGGTTTCGAAGAACGCAATTACCTAACCTTTAACTTTTGAGATCGTTGAAAAGTGAGCAACCTGTCCATATTTTTATTGTTGTAGGGACCTACATAAATTTAGATCCTATCTAATATTAGTTTAAACAATGAGTCCCAGAATAAATTTGTAATGTTCATTGATGGTATGTTTAAGCAGAATTTTTTGGTTTTATTGTATTTAGTAGATAACAAAAAAAGGATTAATTAGTAATAACATTTTGAAGGAAACGATCCATTTTTTTTTTGGAAATTCTATGGCAATCCCATAGGACGACACGGCATTATTCAGTTTGTGCGCGAATTGATTATTCTAATCTGATTATGGATTTCGACAAACCGTAATAAATAAATACGAGTACCTGCTCAGTGATTTATGCACTATAACAAGTCACAACACTGTGATTTTCTCAAAAGACCGACAAAGAACGGTCGGAACCTGTTTTTGCAGGACATGGCAGGTGCAATAATTCATGTGCAAAAATATATACTGATATATGGAGAGGTGCTCATTAATACTGGCAGTTTTGAAGTGAACATCGAAAAATGTTGGGAAGAGACATTCAATGTGCGCAGGTGTGAATCATTTGCAAGCCCGTTTTCAGATATGTGTGTGGCTGCTGGCAGTTTACCAATTTGATTGGATGTACCAAATGCACCCAGATGCCACTAAAGTTTCAGTTCAGTACGTGGAAACTGCTGTAAAAATGGCGCTACGTGCAACTTGGTGCATCAATTTTTGGATATTTAATGTCCCCTGTATTGTACTACACACTAAATGGTTCCTACTCCCACGAGAATTGAAAATTATTGCAAACAAGAATTAACACCCAACAAGAACTGCAAGGTTGTCGGATATAACACAATAACACGTGCCCTCTTACCGCACTAGTACCATTTCAATAATGCAAAGTATGCGAAAAATCGAAAGATAATAATCGGTAACTGCAGGTTATAAATAAATCACATAATACTGTAGCATAACGCCAAACAATATTTATGTATTTCCTTGACCCAACAGCAGCATCCAAGACTTTGTTTCCTTAAAAAAAAGTTATTACGTTGTTACGGCGGTGGAATTGAATACTTACCAAGTGCCAAATAAACTAGAAATTCTGGGGTTAATTTTACAGCATTTCTAAGGCGATAGTAGAATGAATCCTTATACATTTAAACTTGCACGCAATTTTAGCCCGAAAAAATGTTTTATTGGCCCTGCCCTCAAATAGGCGTCACTTTACCACGTCAGATTCGTTAAATACTTCCTCATTCGGGCGTTTCCGATACTTTAGTCACGCGTTTGACGTTTATATTTTGATGTGTGTCTTTTCTGATGGTCACGTCAGGTGACACTCAGTGACTGCATTCGTGCTGTTTTTCAAAAATTAACCTACAAACTAATGGTAGTAGTAGATAGCATATTTGGTAATTGACAAATTAGTCACGATTTTGTTTTGGCAGTGGAGTGCAGCGGTACGAGCCTTTAATAAACGGGTGTCTGAAGAAGTATATCAACCTCTTGCAAACTATACTCAGTGGTTGAACATGTTCATCAGAAGATTGCATGACTTAGGTATTTTTTCATGAAATAATGTCAACGGAAAAACATATTTCAGATTCTTTTAAAAATAGGATAAACTCCAATATACAATCAATAAATACCAAAAAACAAAGAAAAGCTAATTCCTGAACATAAAACTGTTTATGTTTTACAGTTACGTCGTGCTTTTTAATTAATTCCCTACCTAATAATATAAAAGCAAGTAGCAGATATAAAGTCATGTTAAAGTCCCTGCTTTTTAGTAGATTATAATTTAACCCATCGGTAGTCCCTTTGCCGGTAGTTCGCCCTCAGAGCAGATGAGATTGGAGTATATTAATTCTTAGTTATTTGTATTCATTGATTATAGAATATAGGATTTGCTATTTGTTTTTTGTCTTTATTATTTCTTTTTCTTATTACGCAGTGTCTGTGCAAAATTACTTTTACTTATTAAATTTTGAAAAGTCTGATCTACAAGTTAAGTTAGATTTAGACAACAATGACTTGTTGAATCTTTTGAAAAATTGAAATATGAAGT